TATTAGAAAGAAAATATAATATACTAATTAATTTTTTTTATATTACACTTTAAAGTCATTTGAAAATGTGTTCCAAGAATTATTCATAATAAGACAAGATGTTTTATTCTAAAATTTATTTTTTCTAAACTTTGGTATCAAAAGGGTTAAACGCTATGTCGATAAAATAAAATGAATAAACGATGACGAATTGTAAAGCATTTGGCACGTTTTCGTCGTGACGGTATATTAATCCGATCCATCGAACATTATCGTAAAATCCGAATACTATAACCATTCCACTAGCGTAATCGACAAAAGAACTTGCAAGAAAGCGCGAGTCAAACGCTGTATTTAAAATTGCAAGCTGCGTGTCCTTAATATACTGTATGCAATAATCCAGGGGTTGCCTAGAACTCCGTATGACATGTCTAAAAAATCAAAGATATTTAAAAGACGTCCTACGTTACGTCAGGCCTCTTTTAAACGTCTTTCGCTACTTCGTGGATTGTTAATTAAATAATTTGACAAATCGCACTTTATTGATGTCCAAGTTTTACATCTACATCTTGTTGTTATTTTAAATCCAATCAAAAGTCGAGAGTTTCCTTACTTTTGCCAAAGTATTATTTTTAAACGCGCTACAAAAGTCCCTCTGACTGCCTTCGTTCGCATACGACCAAAGATTTCGTATATTTATTATCGGCATATCGTGCCGTCTTTCTCGTATTAGAATTCTACGAGATGCAAAATCTGTAGTGACACCGTGTATCATAAATGTAACGTAAGTGTTCCGCGATATAGAGTTTTAGATATTTAACGTACCTTATGGGTTGTTCTTGTTGCGCTACTCGTTAAATTCATTAATTATTGTACTTATCGCCGCCACAATCGACGTGCGTCTCAAGTGCAACTGACATCCTAATTATCTCTAAGATTACTTCGCGCGCGTTATACTTAATTTTTTTTTAACTATGCAAATTGAGATGTACACTGTTTATTGTAACATAAGAATGATAATCCTGCCGGAGGAAATCGATTTGCAGAATCGAAGGATTAAGGAATCATGGACTCTGTTAAAGGGTGAACTACTTGTAAATCAATAGCAATAGTTTCTCAAAAAGTGTCATATTTTACATAAGTCATTAGGCTTGTTTGCGTTGCTTGCACTTTTTGTACTCATTGTCAGTATCTTCTCTCTCTCTCTCTCTCTCTTCAAAGTCCGAATATATATTTATCTCATTTTAAAATTTTGGGGGATTTCAAGCAACGCGAACAGACATATCTTGAAGCAGACACTTCTTGAGAAAAGGGGATTTTATTTTGAATGTACCTCTTCGTAAGAACATATCGGAATACGTTCTTTATATATTTATATACAGAAAATAAGCCGATATCCACCTAGAGGCTACAGGATACAGACGAGCGAGAAACTTACTAATAATTAAGCAAAGTTGTTGTGTCTGTATGAAAAAATATCTATACGGACAAAAAACATTCGCGAGTCGTTCTCTCACGACTCGCTGTGCCAATCCGTTCCATCTTAGAATTTTGCACATGTTTAATATAAATGTAAAGATTCCTCACTACAGACAGTGAGTTGCGTAAACGAAGTTTTTGGAAACCTCGTTAAAAAAAGTATGCATCTTGTACTTAGTGTTTCAATCGTTAGGCGAAGAATGTCTCGGATGCTGGGTCCAGTTGTACCTTCATCGACAATTTTATAGACGTTACATATAATAGCTCTCGATATGTCGTTTTTCGAAGTGCGTGTATTGAGACATTTATATCATGGCATTCCATATGAAATTAGCCGATTAATTCGAATCGATGTGCTAGTATCTTTGTATTGTAGATTCGCGGGGCTTCTTTGCGCTTCGCTACAACAATAGAAAATCGGTAGACAAACTCTTCCTTTATGTCGTTAGTTGAATTATAATAATACTTCTATATGATGTTCACATACTTCCAAAATGATTTTTAATTGTGAATTGAAAATCGCGCCTTTGATGAACTAAATCGAAGTAAATCGATGCAGCTAACGTTCTCTTCGATGTCCGTTTCTCAGCTTATCGGTTAACAAGATTTAGAAAGACGAAAGGAGCGAACAACGTTATTTAAATGTAAGATAGAGATTACGAAGCCTTCATTTCTATCGCTTTCATGTACGTTGTTGAACTCTGATGTATACGTTGTTGGACGCGCATATGATATATCGATAAAATATTATAATTCTAAATGTCACACCGTGATATAATACATTATGCAGACCAAAGAAACAATTAAGAAACGCCACAAAGATCTTCCCTGTTTCACACGTCTTTTGGAATGTTTAAATGTTACCAAATAATTTTTTTTACAACGTCGCGAGGAGAAATTATATATTTATTCCTTTTTAAAGATAATGAAACGCTTTTAATATCGAAATACAGTCTCTATTAAAAACCTTAAATGACACGTCTTGTTTTTCGTATAGCATAATTCTATTTACACCGCACGAAAAATTCATTCATCGTCAATCCATAAAAGATCTTCCTCGAAATTTTTCTAAGCTCAATCTTGACGTCAACCTCTTCTCTTGAATGTTCTTTTATTTTTCATTCATTAACGAGGAACTGTCGAGTGTTCATTATCTGCGTGGTGATCATTTCGAAATGTACCAGGGGAAATATCGTTTCTTGCGAAGTGACGTTGATGTTCTACTTTTATAAACACATGCGTACTTGCATTTTGTACCGATAGCGTCTCGCATCACGGCGCGATGACACAATAACGGAGATGTATCCGACGAGACGAGAATACGCAAATATCGTGCGTTGTGATGTTCGGGATCGCGCAATTGTGACATGTAAGAAAACGCAGAGACGCTTCATCGACAATTATCTCGAAGAGCGACACGCTCATTTCATGTTGTACCAATGTTGTAGAAAAGGAAATAAAGTTACGATCCCATAAATCGTATGGACAGAGATATTGTTTTCTGTGTTTTTTTTATACCTTTATAAGCACTGACTGAATAACGTCGTTTTTTTTCCTTTGCTACTATTATGATATTCCTTACCTTTGATTGAAATATTTTCAATAGAAATAAATGATACAGTTTTAACAGTTTCCATTAACTCATATTTATGCATCAATACAAAATAATATTTAAGAAAAAAATAATTATTTTAAAAAATATTTAAAAATAATACTGTATGTGCTACATTTAGAAAAGATTATAGTTTATGCATTCGTACTTGGAGTCATAACATCATTATATACAATATAATGTTTATTTCCAATCTTTTCTTTCATTTGTATTAATATCAAACGCCAATTACATTTATGTAATCTTATATAATAAACTGTAAGTGTTGCGTATTATCTTCTATAAATACTAAAATAGTTACTATATAATTGACAAATGTTATGAGAAATATAGTTTCTGTTATGTTTATGTTATACGAAACATATACATATACTTATATACATGTACATATAGAAGAAAGGCCCCTATTATATGAGATATTATATCGAGTTCATTAAATGCTAGAAGTCTATGGGCAAAATTAAAAAAAATAATAGATCATTTTGAATGGAATTTAATAAGCTTTAAGATAATGTTATGTAAAATTTAATTCAAATTCTATTGACTTTTATCCGATTGACTTTTAGAAATAAATATCAGGTCAATTCGTCATCATTGCGAAATAAATTCAGAGCAGATAAAAGGGCTGAATCTTTTATTACGGTGTCTGTAAGATACGATTAGAGTCAATGGAATGAACTAGAGGTTAATAAAAAAAAGAAATATTTTTTTTATTACCGAACAATTAATAGTTCCAAAGTTACGCTCAATTTTTTATACGGATCATATTACGAAAGATGCACGAAAATGAAAAATTAATTAAATTATTAATTACTCAAACTATATTAAATGTGGAAGTATATAAAAATCGCACGAATTACATAATACAATTTGTAGTACAATCGAGAGTTATACTTAAGCGAGAGAAAATTTTATATTAAACAAAAATAATTGTCGTCATTACACTATATCAGAATATAAAATTCAATTTCTCTTGTCTTTTGTGATCTAATTTTATTCTGCATTACCATGCCGATAAGCAGATCCCTGCGGATGAGCATGCCCCTGCCGGAAGGCAACCCAACTTACTGTGTGTAGGTATCGGAAGCACCCTGTATACATACGATGCAATGTATGTAATATACACTGTGTTCTAAAATTCACTACCACTATTAAAAATCTATAGTACACATAACATGAACTATAAGGCTTTTTATTTTTAATTGAACTTCTCGCATTTCTTGCATCTCGGTTCATCTTTTCTCGTTTTCTCTTCGCATTGTATGAAAAAGGTAGAAAGTTGAACCGTGTTATTGAGCGCATTCAGCAGACTCAACAGTTGAATGAGCGCTCGCTGCTATTGATGTATCCTTTTAGATCTAAAATTCTGATTGGATAAGCTAAAAGAATACACCATAACAACAAGCGCTCACTCAACTGTTGAGTCCGCTGAATGCACCCATTATTGTTTTTTTTACTTAAAAAAAGGTTAGAAAACTTTCAGAGCGTTGCAAATAATTATAAATAGACATATCAAAAATATTATAATACTTATTTAATTTTTATATTGATTTAGGGATATTATATATTACTTATCACAAATTGATGTGTATTAATAAAAAAACCATGTTACATCATGCAGCAGCCAATCAAAACACACACACACATTATGGCTACGGTCGCTTTGTCGCTTGCAGCGCTGTGAACATCAATTATCCTTGTTTAATATTTAATAAATAACAAGGAAACAACGCTTAAAGCGTTGTGATCGCCAAAGCGAACACAACCTAGAGTACACACACATATTCGTCGCCATTTTGAGAGCACTTCTGCTGAATGTCCAGATTCTCTACTTCTAGGGACTCTACCCCCAACTAAAGTCACTAGATTTATAAATCTAGTGACTTTACCCCCAACGCACCAATAGTGGCATCTACCGGCTGGCATAGTTTGGCTAGGTTAGCATTACCGGTAAACGTAGTCAACAAACAAAGTTATTGCTGATTGTTGCACAATTTTCCACAATTTTTGCGAATATCTTATCAGTACTCAGATATTTGAAGGTTCTGTTACTATAACCGAAAATGAGTAAAGCACATCCACCAGAGCTTAAAAAGTGAAGTATATTTTTTTCATAAGCGTTGCGGTCTCGCTATCGATATTATTATTCTTCACACTTTTTAATACATTATATTTCCATATTAATGTTTCTGTACTTTTTTCAGATATATGGATAAAAGATTATCCCGTAAGTAACAATGCAAATATATACTGTGTGTAAGTCAAAGTTAAGTATATCTCCAAGAAAAAGATTGAGATATTTGAGAAATAACCTTGTTGAAAGGTTAAGTTTGTTGTAGTCACTCTTGTAGAACGTTAATGATTTCTTTGGTGAAAAATAACTTCTTACGTAAAGAAATATTTTTTGAATATCCTTTTTTGTATTTTATAAAATAAATATAAACTTTATTTTTGTTATATAAAATATTTGTAAGAAGACTAATTGCAAGCATATACAATTAAAACCATTTTATAGTTTTATTATAAGACATACAAGAAGTACTTTAGCATATATAGAAAGTAATATAAATATTTTGTTCTTTATTTTAATTTTACTCGAAATATCTTGCAGTAAAGTTGAATGGGGGCCGACGTGTTGTTGGAATATTGAGAGGTTTCGATCCGTTTATGAACATGGTCATAGATGAAAGTGTAGAAGAATGCAAGGACGGTACTAAAAATAATATAGGAATGGTGGTAAGTTTTGTTGTGATTTTATATTTATTTTTATGGAAGCTGATTATATGTGTGTGTATAAAATAGAATATTTTTATATTATTATTTAGTATCAGTATTTATCAAAATAAATTGTATATTTATAGGTAATTCGTGGCAACAGCGTCATAATGTTAGAAGCTTTGGATCGAATATAATACATATTTTACTAGAACTTATCTCTATCTTATCTGTATCTTAAATAATTATATTTTTAAATAAATAATCGACTCTTTTCTTAAGATATAATCAAGATGTTGCGCAATATTGACCTCTTTGATAATTGACATAACAATATTTTAATTTTTTTATGTATCAAGTGATTTCTTCGATGACATTATAGCCCTTATTGAGTCTTGATCTTCTGAAAATAAACCGTTTTAATATGAAGCTTAGCTTTTGTCTAATTTCATTATAGTTGCAATTTTTATGGTACCAAAATATTTTAGTATTCAATTTATACTCTGGAAGATGAAGCTTTATTTTTAAAATTTATTTATTGTGTTTAATTTTTTATCCGAAAGATGAGACGATATCACAATTTATTCATGGATTATCTTAAGATTAAATTTATATTTGGGATACTTTATTTCTATTATAGTGGAATATTTTCCTAATTAAATTTCGTGTCGTATATACAGAGTTAGGAAGTAACTAGTTACTTGTAATTAAGTTACAATTACTTTTTTCAGTAACTTAGTTCCTTTTTTTTATCTATAACTGTAACTTAACTTAGTTATATTTTTTCCAATAACTAGTAACTAATTTAACAGTTACTTTTACAGTTACTTTGCATTTTAAACTTATTTATCAATTTAACGTGATTGGTTAAAATCTGAATACTAATTAAGGCTACGGTCCACTTGATGTTACAAATGCTTCGAAGTATTTTTTGATTAGTCAGTTTGTAAAATTCTTTCTTTCGATTGGTCAATCAAATGCTTTGAAGCATTTGTAGCGCTAAGGGTGCGTTTCACTTAACATTCGCAACACTCGCATGTATTATTTCATTGTTTAATATCTGTAACAAGGATAAAATGATACGAGCGTTGTAGACGTAAGTGGAATACATCCTATGTTTTGAAACGCAGCCCAGAAAGAGTATTTTATTATTTCGTCCGTTATTTGAATTATCTCACGTATATTTCCGCGAAATTAAAGGAATTTTTTAATAAAATTGTATTGTAAACGTAAATTATTTTTTTCTTTAATAGCCCTAATAACATCGATGTCACTCATATTGTTCTGTCGTGATAATAGAAAAGTAACTGTAACGAGTTAATTTTTAGTCTCGGTAACTTGGAACTGTAACTAGTTACTTTTGAAAGAAAGAAACTGTAACTGTAACTAGTTATTTTTACAAAGTAACTTTCAACCCTGCATGCATATATATATATATATATATGCAGTATCGTTTATATAGCTCTAGAAATCAAAGTATGTAAAATTGGTCGATAAAAATGAGAAATAGAACGCGAAGACGATCTATATCTCTTTCTATTCAATCATTTGTAATATATTATAAAAAGAAAAGGAGAGTGACCATCTTTACACTTCCTCTTTCTCATTTTTATTGACATATTTGATATATTATTCAGATATGAATGACACATGTTTCGTGTCTTTGCTAGGAAATATCATTAAAATCTTTTTTGTTTGACAAGTGGCTCTAGTAAGCTGTGGGAAGTTATTTAGCATCTGCATCCATCTATCATGAATGGCTTAAAGGGGGGGGAAATGATTTATATTTGATACACAAACACGAATGTTTTATTAACTTTTTTATTACAAATGTAGGAGGGAAGATACACGAATTGTAATACTGTATTTGATTTTTATTATACTCGTCAGTACATTGAGAAAATAAATAAACTTATTTTATTGATCCTGATGCAATTACAGTAAATATATCATCACAAATATAGTTATTAATTTAATTCCTCACAAAGTATGTAACAAATATCTTTTCATAATCTTTATCAACCCTCTTCATACTATATTTTCATTATTTTAGTTTTTTTTGTATGGTAAATTTTATTTTTTTGTCCTAAAAAATATCCTAAAAAAACAATAAAATATTTCTATTTGAATAAAATAGATATCATATCAATATACCAAAACCTAAAAGATAATTGCATATCGTCAAAGCAGAAACACTGTTGTATTTCGTTCATCATTTTGTTACATTAAATTCACGATTATAAAGTGTAATCTTTATAAACAAACATGTCCTTATATTAAAACACAAATTTAATATATATTTCCTAACTTGAGATTTACTCAAAAACTATCTAATATAACGATAACAGACATGCGTTTCAAGCTATCTACATAGTGCAAACGTGTATTTAAAGAATTGATATTAAAGAAAAAATTCTAGAAAACAAATGCAGAATATGGTTTGAAATAGATTTTATTTCTGTAGACGATTATCTACAAGTCTATAATAAAAGCATGACTATTGTTAGAAGAAATTTCTGATTTACAAGGCACTTAATATTTCATTGATTTTTCGCATTCAGGAACATTACTTATCCTCAACAAGTGATAGATGTGTTCTCGTAATAAAATATTTTATGACAATTGTATGATAATTATACCGTCCTTTTACATTTCAGCAACAAGACAAAGCACAGCAGATCTTGAATAACAAATATTTCACGATGTATGCATAATTCACAGACAAACTTAAATTTATTATTTAAAATATTTCACGTTATTTTTGTACTGTTTTGCTCTTATAGTAAATTGTTCCATAAAATAAAAAAATTTCACTGAACATATATATGAGAAAGATTTACTCAATAAAAATTAAAAAATGTTATTTTCTTGTTTTTTAATATTTTATGAATATGACGTATAAAAAAAAATAGTGTGAGATTAGTAAACATTGTTTTTAAGAAAGAAAAATAACAAAAAGTAGTACGAATACTTGTACATAAATCTATATCACAAATGTAACGCGTAGCTTAGACTATCGTTTTAAATGCAAAAGAAAATGACAAAATAAGAACAAAAAATATTTCATATTGTTAATTGTAATTCATTAATTTATAATTGAAAAAAGTGTAGGCTTTATATGTATGGTATGTAATGATAATTGTTAATCTGTGCTGATATTTAAGACTATTTCAAAATATATATATAATATATATATATATATACTATACGTGTGTGTGTTTTGTGTGTAGCCACTTTTACTTATACTTTATACACATTACGTACTTTATATTAAACTAACATATTTCTTACATACATAACATGTACATTATTTCGTGTATCATATACATGTCAATGTTTAACATCGGAGCAGTCATTATTCGTATTTTCTATGTAATGCTTTAACACACCAACAAGTTTACGATTTGTATCTTGTAATTATATGACAAGATTTTTGTATAGAAAACAATCCTAAGAAACCTTGAAATTACAAGTTGCAGAATAAAATATATAACTATATACATTTTAATTTTACTATTATTAAAATGTATCAAATAACAGTTTAAGAGTAAAATATATAGAGATGAATATAGAATGAATATAATTATAATATAGAAAAAAAATATTTTCGTGAGGAAAAATGTATCACAGTTAAATGCGATCTTATTTAAATAAAAGACTAATTATATTAAGTGTACAAGCATGATTTTAAAGATTTTTTGATTAAAAAAAAACGCATTGATTAGACATAACATAAAAATCATTCTTACTTTATTCGAAGTATGCTCGATCGGAAGCCACAACTTGCCCCATCTTTCAGGCAACAAACAGATTCCACGCTGGTATAAGTCTGGATCTTTTGAAGCGATCCAGTTATCAAGCCATTTTTTATTTCTTCATAAGAGGCTTTTCATGCTCTTTATTATCCAAATCAAAATCATTGCTTCGTTTAAACCATTTTTCACACATGCTTACCGATGGAGCATATTTTTTGTAAGATTCCACAAGCAAACGATGACTTTCAGCTGCACTTTTCTTTAGAAAAAAATAATGAAGTAAAATTTTCTGCAAATGGCGTCTTTCCGATACAAAATTTGACATTTTCAATGCGATAAAAATAATAGTTGTTTACACTTTAGTCAAATGAAATGTACTACGTTTTAAAACTGCGTATACACCTTTCAAGTATTGTCAACTTCAAATAATATCAATATAACTATACCGCTATCTATTGAAAATCCGTAAAGTCATACTTGTACATCTAATACAAATTATTACATTAACTAAAAAAATTACAAATCTATAGAATTTTTCAAATGTTATATATTAAAATTTAAAAATTTTTTGAAAGGGTGTTGACTTCAATATATGATAGTGTAAAAAGAATTAAAATTTATGAATGAAATATTTTACTGTGTTCAAATAGTAATTAAAATTTTGTTCTTTTAAATATTCTAAAAATTTAAATAATTCCACTCTGTTTATATTTTTTTAATTTTACAAATATCGTGAAAAAGCTTAAAATACCTAAAATAAATCGTCAAAGCAATTTTTTACAATTTATTATAACATGATTTTTGTATTAATTTTAGCTAAAAATATTATTTCGTTATTTTTTCTAATGTCTAGTAAATTTTATCTTATAATTGTTAAACATTATTTACAATTATCAAATAAAATTTATTCGATACAAGAGAAAATAACAGAACATTATTTTTAGCAAAAGTTAATACAAAAATCATATAGTAATAAATTATAAAAAATTGCTTTAATGATCCATTTTACTGTTGGAAAAAATGTGCCGAATTTAACATAAATCGCATGTCCCAAACAGTTCACTCAAATTTTTGGGTTAATTTAACACAAGATGAATATGTTAGAAGATTATACAAATATTATGTAAGAGAATAAATACAAAAAAAATTATTTTATCAACACAGTTTGTGAACAACCATGGAAGCATTTTTTTCAAAGAATTAGCATTTATGATATGTTAAATTAACACGTATTTCATTCATTCGTCTTAGAATTTACGTTTTAAAACACATTATTTTTGTTACTTGTTCGACTTACTCATAAATTATGTCACTTCAACTAAGAAACGTTAAATATCAATTTCATTCAAAATCTTTAAATAATATAATCATATTATGTTAAATTAACATTCGAATATGTTACAAAATTCAATATAAACTATTAACAAGAACATGAGTGGACCGTTTTCAACACAAATACATAATTTTTTTTACTGTATAGATATTCTAAACCTCTTCATGACATTAAAATAATACATAATATGTATTATAATAAATTATACAGATATCTGTATAGATTTTATGTATATATATATCTATATATAGATATAAAAACATTAAATGCAAAATATAAATTACATATCTATATACATATATAATTAT